CACGCGAGGGCCGCGGCATCACGTGGTCTGCGCCGACGCGCCCTCTAGGCGCCGGTGGTCTGGCGGGGTGGGGGTGCGTTGTAAGCGTCTGCTGACCCCAGGGTCGGTCTGAGGGCGGCCTTAGCGGTGAGTCCAGAGGGGTTGGCCAGTGAACTTACTCAAAGCCGGTCAGCGGGTGCACGCTGCAGCCCGGACACGCCTCCCTGGGGCTGCAGCCGGCTCGCGCTGGCCTCGACATGGAGTTTGGCCAGACTCACCTCTGATAAGCGATCCCCTCCGTATTTCATAATAACGATGTAGGATGGTTTCCTTCCAGATATGGAGAGCAGACTCTGCACAAGTGAGAGCTGAGGAGCCCGGGGATCTGTATTCCCAGCCTGTATTTTTTTGGGGGGGAGACCCTATGGGAACTGGCTACCCATCGGTACCTCATTTCTGAGCCACTGCTGCAGTGCTTGGCTGCCACATTATTTCCTGGGGCATAGATCGTCCCAGCCAACCCTTGCTTGGGAGGCAGGAGAGAGACAAAGTATGCAAAGGTGATTGGGTTTGATAAAGATTCACATTTCCAGCTTTTCATCAGACCTGCAGATTTGGAAACGATTTTGTTGCTTGTGGATCTAGCGCAATGGGAATCCTAATAAGATCATCACGGTGGGCCTGTACTAGATGCTACAGTTTACAGAATACTCTGACCACTTCGGTTTAGGACTGCCTTAAAATATAGCTGTCATTCAGTTTTCCTAGGTGAATGAGCGGAGACCATGCCCATTTTGTTCATTAAAGAACAAGACAGACCATGCCTGACTTGCTTGGACTGAAAGATGACATTTTACAGACTTGGGCAAAGAGTCATAATGGTGTTGACAGAACTGAGACTCAAAATCACATCTCCCGATAATGGAGACATGCTTTTTGTGATTCCAGACTGTCTCAGAATCAGACTGTTGTGATTTCTGGTTCTAAAAGACTATCTAGTTCACCTCCCCTCATTTCACAGACAAGATGTAAGCTGGAAGCTTCGGGGAAAAAAAAAGCCATACATCTCCCAGGCTTCAGTAAGTAAGCTATTTTGCTCTCTTTTAATAGCTGGGACCAGGTGCTTGTATGCATTCAAGATCCAGAAACGAAATAGAATAATAATTAGGATTCTGGAATTGCTCATACTTTGATCCATAGCCAAGTAGACATTCTTACCTAGATTGATAAAGTGAGTTGCTGATTCCCAATAGCCCATAACTCAGAAAGTTTAAGAGGTGCTAATTAGATCAATGTTGTTTGGGTTTCCACCTCCCACCCCAGAGTTCTTCATCTGGTAAACTTTTTTTTTTCTGATAAACCATTGAATGACACTATGTACAAAGTTATGAGTGAGGCAGTATAGCTGGTGAAAGATTCCTATATTATATAAATAAGTGATTTAGAGTGGAAAGTGCCTGGAGCCAGGCTGCCTGGGTTGGAATGCCCCCTTTGCCACTTAACACACTATTACCTTGGGCAAATTGCCCTCTGGCCTGTCTGGAGTTTATAACCTACTAACGAGATGAGAGATATACACATTGAGTCTATCTATACAAGATATATACAAGATAAATGGACATAATATCCTGTGTGAGCTCAGGGTTGGGAGAGGTCATACTCTCTGTATAAAGAAAAGAAGAAATAATGGAGGAAATGGCATTGAGCCATTGAGAAGAGCAGTAGGATTTCAGCAGCTGAGGCAAGATGGAAAGCATTGAGACATGGAGGCCAGAGTATGCCTTTTCCAGTGTTACTGGAGTAACGTATTCAGGTTGAGTGCAGCCAGGTTGATGGAAGGCCCTGGGTTCTGGCAAGGAGTTTGAATGTTCGTAAGCACTGAGAGCCTTTGGAGGATTTTTGCCAGATCGCTTTTCAATTGCAGAAGAATATAGTGACTCAGAGAAAACAGCGTGGAGTTGAGCACTGAGCCAGGCTTCCTGAGTGGGAGTTGTTTGCCTGCCTAGGGAAGGCTGGTGTATTGGGCGGGGCCGCCTGCGAGCTCAGGCTGCAAGTATGAGCGACTGAGATCCCCTCTAGTGGCTGAGGTTGGTATTTCCTCACAGGTTGGGCTGGGATTACTTTTGAGTTTGTTCACTTTGAACTGATAGAAACTATTCTATGCCAGACCTTTTAATACACATTGTCCCAAAATGCTCACTACCGGGCCAATAGGCAGCATGTCACACTATAGGTACAGAAGAGGTAAAAATAGTCAATTATTTTTTTGGGAGTTCTGGTAGCCTAGTGGCAAGAAGCTGCACTGCAATCCCAGAGGTATGCTGTTCAAATCCACCAGATGCTTTGCTGGAGAAGGAGGGGCAATCTCCTCCTGTACCAGTCAGATCCGATTTGATGCTACACACACACACACACACACAGAGAATATAATAAAATAAAAATTCTCAATGATTTCATCTTACTTGGCTCCATAATCAGCACAATTTGTACCAGCAGTTAGGATATCAAAAGCTGTGCTGCACTGGGAAAATTTGCTGTCAGGGACCACTCCAAAGTCTTGATGAGCAGAGATATAAGTTTAAAGACTAAGGTGTGCCTGATCCAAACCATAGTCTTTTAAATTACTTGTTTTGCATCTGGAAGTTGGACAAGGAATAAGAATGAGAGAATTGTCATTGCCTTTAAATTATGGTGTTGGAGAAGAGTACTGAATGTCTCTCAGACTGCCAAAAGAACAAAAAATATGTCTTGGAGAAGGTGCAAGTAGGATGCTCCTTAGAATCAAGGATAACAAAACTCGGCCTTAAATACTCAGGGCATGTTATTGGGCAGTCGTTGGAAAAGGACATCATGCTTGAAAAGGGGGAAGGTCAGCAGAGAAGGGGTAGACTCTCAATGAGATGTATTGACACAGTGATTGTAACAGTGGGCTCAAGTATAGCAGAGAAGATGAAGATGGCACAGGATAGGGCAGAGTTCGGATCTCGTTCATAGGGTTGCTATGAGCAATTCAGTGACACCTAACAACAACAACAACAGCTCCTATAATCCTTACAGCAATTATCTGAAATAGCTACTAGTCTTCCCATTTAAAAGGGGGAAAAACAAACTATGAAGGCTTACTGAATTATACAATTGAAAGGGACCCCAGGAATCATTTTCTCTACTAGGCAATTCACTGCATTGCTAGAGCTTTTTGGCAGCTACTATTTGTTTAGCTCTGCCCTCTATATTTACCCAGACTAAGAGTTAAACAAACAGATGCTGCCCTGGGCATGCTCACTTGGCTATGCCAAGAAATTTGGAAATCAGTTAAAAGAAAGGTGGTCCAATGGAGTGCATAAGTTATTGAACAATCTCATTAATGACACAAGTAAAATCTTGTTAAAGAGTATTTTTTAAATGAAGGAGTAAATTTACAGGGAACTACCAGAAATTCAAGCGGGGCTGGGAGAGGCTGTGGAATAAGGTACATCATTGCTGACATCAGATGCATCTTAGCTGAAAGTAGAAAGTGATAGAAACGTGTACTTTGTGAGGTTTACCTTTTTAAAATTTATATACAAAGACATTCAACTAGATGGATCACAATAAAGGATCACATTGAGAACAATGGGAATTGAACTGAATTGTAAACTCATATGGAACATGTACATGCACCAAGAAGCAGGTGTCTGAACAGAACAACGGGACACTGTATGGTTTGAAATAAG